TGTTTTCTCTTCTGTCTCCGCGGCAGCTCCCCCGCCCTGTCACTCTCCATTGCCAAGAACCTGCCAGAAGGAAGCAGGCGAAACAGATCTGCAGAGCGGGAGCTCAGATCTCCCGATGGCCAGTGCCTTGTTCACGGAGGCCGCTCCCAGCTGCCCCTCGGCCACGCCCACCTGCCCTCGGTTCCGCCCCAGGCCTCCCAGGACACACGTCAGTGGCCCACGGTACAGATGAGCAAGTCGAGGCTCCAGAGACAGAGTGGCCGCCCAGAGCCCTCTGTCCCCTCCCTGTGAAGCATGGAGGCCAGCAGGGCCCTGGAGGGAGGTGGGCACGGGCAGGGGTCCCTGCTGAGCTGCTCCGCCGCGCCCCGCCCTCGCTGGGCCGCCACCTCCCCCTTGGAGAAGGTCACTGTGCTCCTCCCCCTGAGAACTGTTGAGAACAGCTCCCCCTGAGAACAGCTCTTGGCTGTTACCAACTTACAGATGAGGACACGGAGGCCCAGGCCCACAGAGCCCCCGGTCCAGGTCACTGAGATGCAGAATTCAAAATCCAAACCCAAAGCCAGGCATCAGGCTACCTCCGAGGATGAGATCTGAGCAGCGTGGCTGCACACCAGCCAGGCAGCAGGGTCTGTGAGACCCATCTCCAGTTAGCCAGGAAACAAAGCGAACAAAAGCTGGGAGTGGAGCCGAGGCTCAAGTGGTAGAGTGCTGTAGCCTTGAGCAAGCGGGTTCTCAGGGACACACACACACACACACTCTCTCTCTCTCTCTCCAGCTCTTCTGCTGGGTTACTGGGTGCTGAGAGGGATCCTGTCCCACCGCCCAGACCCCATAGGCTGGGACCAGGGGCTCCAACCTGCAGCTCTTAGCAGCTGAGGGTGATAACTGTTACCCCAAGAATCTCCTTAACACTTGTGCACACGTGTGTACTCAGTTCGAAGGGTAGAATCGGGCCTGGAGGTGGACAGCATTGGATCTGGATGACACAGAAGCTTCTAGAATATGTGAGTTCCGTGGTGAGCCGAGCGGGGGCTGCTTGGGAGGAAGAGGCGGGCCCTCGTGTGGCAGACGCGGTTTTAGGACGCATCGCCTGGGTGTGCGGTGTGCGCGGGGGCCCTGCGCGTGGGCAGGGGTGGTGAAAGCACCTGGTGTGTGTGTCGTCTGTCCATCTGTCCGTCCCTCCTCTCCCTCCCTGGGGTGGTCAGAGCACCTCCCTCGGGCTGACACACAATGCCTTGTGCAGAGCATTTCAGAATCTGGTACCTTGGCCAGGGCGTGGGGCAAGTGAGGGCGGGGCCGAGGGAGGTGTGAGGGAGGGCTGCGGGAGGCTGGGAGGGAGGCTGAGGGAGGCTGCAGGAGGCTGTGTGGGAGGCTGCGGGAGGTGTGAGGGCTGTGGGAGGGCTGTGGGAGGTGTGAGGGCTGTGAGAGGTGTGAGGGCTGCAGGAGGTGTGAGGGCTGAGGGAGGCTGTGTGGGAGGCTGCGGGAGGCTGTGGGGGAGGCTGGGGGGGAGGCTGAGGGAGGCTGTAGGGGGGGCTGTGGGGGGCGTGTGGGAGGCTGTGGGAGGTGTGAGGGCTGTGGGAGGTGTGAGGGCTGTGGGAGGTGTGAGGGCTGAGGGAGGTGTGAGGGCTGGGGGAGGCTGGGGGAGGCTGGGGGAGGCTGTGGGAGGCTGGGGGAGGCTGTGGGGGAGGCTGGGGGAGTCTGAGGAAGGCTGCGGGAGGCTGCGGGAGGCACCCGGTGCCCTGCTCCGTCCCCAGCGCGGCTGCTCCGACTCCATTAGGAATTCATGAAGGCCGGCTAGGATTTCCGCGGCGCTGCGGTTACCTTCAGCATGGGGACAAGAAGGTCCTTTGTGGTCAGCCGAGTGACCTTTGCAGACAGCAGGCCGCCCCTCCCGCCCTCCTCCAGTCCTCCTCCAGACCTCCTCCCCGCAGTCTGGGGCTTCCTAGGGGTAGGTGACTAGAAGGGTAGTTCTCTCTAGCGGCCAGGGGACACCTAGCCGGGGCTGGGCTCAGGTCACACATAGCTTCTCCAGCTCCTCCAGACTCAGCGCTGGGACCCGGTGACGGAGACCCGAGGGCAAGCCGCCCCCCCCCAGGCCCCAGGCGCCCCTGCGTCACCCCACGGGCTCATCCTGGGCCTCGCGGTGGCGGGCAGACTGGCCTTCTTGCAGATGTGGGTTCAAATCAGGCTCTTCCTCTCGTCCTGTAGGCGGGGCGCTGCTTCCCAGAGCCTCAGTTTCCTCTTCTGTGAGGGGGAGGGAAGGGAGAGCCTGGCACTGGTCAGGGTTCGGCGAGCATCTGGCAAGGCTCCTGGCACAGCACGGGGCTCCAGCGTTGTTGGCCAGTGCAGCTTGAGCAGCCCTGACCTGAAATCCAGAAGACTCCACAGACTGCGAGCGTCCTGAGCGCCCCCCCCCCGTGGACAATTCCACTGTGACCTTGTGTGCTATGTCATTGTCAGAGGGTCACCCCCAGGCCAGCCATGCTGTAAGATGGGGCTGAGACACCCAGGAATCCTGTGTTTACACGTGGGCTCCAGATTCCAGGCGTCTCCTGCGGGACAGACTGCTCAGGGTCCAGCCACGTGCCGATCAGAAGCCGGCCCGGCCACATGCTGGAGGGCTCGGGCCAGGGGGTCAGGGTTCAAGACCACCAGCCAGGGCACCTAGGGAAGAGCGCTTCTCAGCCATGCCCGGGCCTGCTGCCCAGCCTGCGTGCCAGCTACCACAGGGAGGGAGAAACGGGAGGACTGCTGTCCAAGTGTGTGCGCGGGTCGGAGACCGCATCTGATGGCCAGGGGGGCTCTGGGGTGAGCTCAGAGCAGAGTGCTTGCTGGCAAGCACCAAGGCCCGAGTTCAAACCCCAGCACCTCAGAAGAAGAAAAAAACTGCCCCTGTCTCTCCTTTTGAAGTGCACATTCTAGAACTTTCTCCAGTAATTCACTCCCCCCTCCCATCTCTGCCTTGCGCTGCTTGTTTGAGTCAGCTTGTCTCCCTCTAGTCTGAGTTAGTGCTTTCAGCAGACACATTCTCGTTGTGTGTGTGCCGGTCCTGGGGCTTGAACTCGGTGCCTGGGTGCTGTCCTTCGCTCCTTCGATCACGTTCCACAGCCGTGAACACCTGCGTGGTGCCACCGAGGCCGTGTCGTGGGCAGCGGACTCTGTGTCCTCCCATGGCACCTCGGTTCCCAGTCTGCAGAGAGAGCAGACTGCAGAGCTGGGGTTCCCTGCGTGCTGCTGGGGGGGGACAGCAGGGCAGGAGACAGCATGGGAAGAGCAGGGGTGCAGTCCCGCCCTGGTCCCAGGACTTAGACCCGGCTTCGTCCATCAGGCCCTGAGGCAGGGGTGGGGGGGTGAAAGTTCCCGCCTGCACACCCCCAGATCTCAGCTACTCGGAGGCAAAAGCAGGAGGATTGAGGTGCAGAGCTGATCCAGGCAAAAGCTCCAGACCCTATCTGAAGACAAAAAAATAAATAAAGTAACGCAAGGGCTGGAACCTGCCTAGGAAGCCCGAGGCCCCGAGTTCAACCCCTAGAGGTGGGAAAAATCACAAGTCTCGTGTGCATTGCGGGCTGAGCCCCAGAGCAGGGGCCTGGAGGAGGCGTGCCCCGCCCCCTCCCCAGCGGGGGCGCGCAGAGCATGCGCGTGCTCCCCGCCCTTCTCGGAGGGTTAGCTGGAAGCCATGTAGTAGCCAGCCCTGCTCTCAGTGGGCTCCCACCCAGTGCTCCCCAGGTGCTGGGGGGCGGGGTGGAGTAAGGGGGACTCAGGGGAGCCGTAACGGCCCAACTAATGTCTGTCTGCTGCGTATGTCTCCATCTCCTAAGTGCCTGTCACTGTACGTGTGTGTGTGTGTGTGTGTGTGTGTGTGCACGTGCACACACTTCTGGGGCTTGAACTTGACCCTTGGGCGCTGTCCCTGAGCTTTTCTTCTCAAAGCTGGTGTTCTACCACTTGAGCTACACCCCTCACTTTTGGCTTTTTGGTAGTTGGAGATAAGAATCTCATGGACTTTTCTGCCCGGGCTGGCTTTGAACCGTGATCCTCAGATCTCAGCCTCCTGAGTAGCTAGGATGACAGGCGTGAGCCACCAGCACTGTAACACATCAAGAGTAGTACATCCCAGGGCTGGGAAGGTGGCTCAGTGGTAGAGCACTTGCCTTGCATGCCTGAGGCCCTGGGTTCAATTCCTCAGCACCACATAAGCAGAAAAAACCAGAAGTGGCGCTGTGGCTCAAATGGTAGGGTGTTCGCCTTGAGCTGAAGAACTGAGCGACAGTGTCCAGGCCCAGAGTTCAGGCCCCATGGCTGACCGACCAAAAAAAAGCAGTGCATCCTTTCTGAGAATACAGCTCCATGAACTTTCCAGAACACAATTCTGCCACCTGGGACCCTGCACCCAAAGAAAGCAAGGAGGCTAGCCACTGTTCTGACATCTGACTCCACAGATGTGTTGTGCTTGCACTTCAACTCTGCCTTTTGTGACTGGTTCCTTTCGTTCACTGTTGTGTATGTTGTCCATTTTCATGGCTGCGTACTATTCCGTTAGTGCTCTCGCTGCTGTGGCCTGTGGGCCATTTCTAGGTCAGGGTCCCTAACACTTAGCAGTGTGGGCATCCTGCCCACCTTCTGGAAGAGCGCAGGCGTGCATTTTTGTTAAGTTACAGACTGGGGACGGGCAGCGGGGCGGGGCTTCTGCGCCGGTGCTCCTGACACACCTGTCCCACGCATGCCCTGTTTGCCTCCAGAAAGGTAGACATTGTTCCTGGCAGGTGCCTGGCCTTTCCAGGTATCGCCGCGCACCCCCGGGCTCCTCCGGGAGCTGCGTGGAGGGGATGAGCTCACGTCTGGAGCTGAGCCAGGCTTGGCAGATGGTACTAGTCTTTCCTAGCAAGCGGCATCTGCTGGGTGTGGGAGGATTTGGAGCTGAGGATTCTTGAAGGTCTGCGGCTGAAGGCTGAGGCCCGGCCCGGCCCCTGCAGCCTCACACTGGAGAGGAGGTAGCAATGGCGGGGTGGGGTGGGGTGCAGCCCCCAGCCCCGCGCTGCTTTGCTGTGCTGATCTGGACCTGGTCCCAGAGCTGCTGCCCAGCGCAGATGGCCGGGGGCAGCGACACGGACACCCTGCATCGTGTCCAGTGACCTCCTACGGTGGGCAGGCTGCCCCGCCCCTGCCCACAGGCACAGGGAGGGAAGGGCAGGCTCAGGGCTCAGTCCTGGCTCTACTACTCCCCCCGTGGTCTTCAGCCCCCTCAGCGTCCCAGTGTAACCCTCGGGTGTTCACAAGCCCCCACGATCCCAGAGGATCATGGTTTGAGGCCAGCCTGGGAATAGAATCCACAAGACTCCTGCTCAATGAATGGCTGGGTATGGTGGTGCCCGCCTGCCGTCCCAGCTATGCCCCCCATAGGCTGGGCACAGCAGCGGTGGCCTGTCATCCCCTGAGACACAGGGGAGCTCAAGGAGGAGGATCAGAGCCCATGCCAGGCAGACACGGGGCTGTCCTGCGCAACAGGGAAGAAGGCTGTGGAGGCATGGCTCAAGTGGTAGAGCACCTGCCTAGCAAACAGGGGTGCCTAAATCACCCCACCTCCCACCTCGTCCCTGTCCCAGCTCATCTGACCCTGCGTCTCTACAAACCCCCTTGAAGCTAGGAAACTCCATCTTCAGTGGGCAAGGGAATGGGGGCCTGTGGCTCACGCCTGCCATCCCGGCTATTCAGGAAGCTGAGATCTGAGGCTTGCAGCTTGCAGCTAGTCTGGGTAGGAAGTCTGTGAGATTTCATTTCCAATTAATTCCCCCCCCCAAAATGTGGAAATGGTAGAGCACTAGCATTGAGCAAAAAAATAAGCGTAGAGGTAGCGCCCAAGTCCTGAGTTCAAGCCCCAGGAATGGACACAAAAGGGCAATTAAACTGTCCCCTCTTCTCTCTCCCCAGTCTCCTCCGATCAGATCGAGCAGCTGCACCGGCGGTTCAAGCAGCTCAGCGGAGACCAGCCCACCATCCGGTAAGGCGTCCGCCAGGGCAGTGCCCCGGGTTTTTCCTGGGAGAGCCCGGGGTGCCCCGGTTCGGGTTCCGGGTTTTCCTGGGAGAGCCCGGGGTGCCCCGGTTCGGGTTCCGGGTTTTCCTGGGAGAGCACAGGGTGCCCTTGGTTCCGGGTTCGGAGGCAATGCCGAGGCCGCCGTAGATCCCCATCTGTTCCCACTGGGAGAGTCCTAGCTGGAGGGAGGGCAGGGCCTCGCCTGACTCCTCCCCCCGGCCCGAGGCCGGTGCGTGAAGCGGGGAGAGGCTGTCCACAGGCCCCGCCCCGTCCTCAGCTCTCAGGTCTGGCTCCTGTCTGTCATCCTAGCGACTCAGGAGGTTGAGTTCGCGGTTCAAAGCCAGGCTGGGCAGGAAAGGCCGTGAAAGGCTTATCTCCAACGAACCCCCAGAAAATGGGAAGTGGCGCTGTGGCTCAAGTGGTAGAGCGCCAGCCTTGAGCTGAAGAGCTGAGGGACAGCGCCCAGGCCCAGAGTTCAAGCCCCACGACCAACTAAACAAAACAAAAAAGCCAACTCTGCACCCTCATCGCCTGCTCCGCCTCTCTCCGGGTCACCCCCATGCACAGGTGGTGCCCCTGCCTGGCTGGGGCCCCCTCTCCTCCTCCCCTCTGTGCCCTGGCCCCCCAGCCCCCTCCCAGGGTGTCCCGTGACATCACTGCTCAGAGCTGTCAGCACCCTGCTCCCCAGCTGCTGCTGGCTCCCTGCAGGCAGGAAGCCGCCTGTGGGGGAGGGGCGGGGCAGAGCAGGGAGGAAGTGCTGGGGGGTGGGGGGGGCACTTCTGAACCCCACCGCAGCACAGACAGGGCTCAGCCAAAATGCTCAGGCCCACAGCATTTCCAGTATGGGGTGTTTCTGGATTTGGGGGTTGGGATTATGGAGTATTTGCATACTCAGGGTTACCTTGAACCAAGACTAAATTTGAGCTCACTTGGCTTTTATATGTATCTTATGAGTGCAGGTGACTTGTTGTTTTTGTCGGTCATGGGGCTTGAACTCAGGGCCTGGGGCTGTCCCTGAGCTTTTTCACTCAACGTGAGCGCTCTACCACTTGAGCCACAGCGCCACTTCTGATTTTCTGGTGGTTCCCTGGAGATAAGACTCTCAGGGACTTTTCTGCCCAGGCTGGCTTTGAACTGCCGATCTCAGACCTGAGATCCTCAGATCTCAGCCGTCTGAGTAGCTAGGACTACAGGCATGAGCTCCCAGCTCCCGGCTTGTGCAGGTAACTTTTGCATACATTGGCTATAATACACACCAGCCTAATGATTGACATGCTATCTTAAAGAACTTTTGCCGGGTGCTGGGGTCCTGTCACTCTAGCTCCTGGGGCGGCTGAGACCTGAGGACAGCTAGGATTTTTCTCCTTGTCAGTATTGGGTTTGAACTCAGAAGCTCATGCTTTCTTCTTGGTGGCTCGCTTGGCTGGTGCCCTACCACTTGAACCAGAGCAGTTTTTTGCCAATTATCTTAGAGATGGAGTCTCAGGGACTTTTCTGCCTGGCTGGCCTTGAACTTTGATCCTCTATAGGTCTTCACCTCCTGAATGGTTAGGATTAGAAGTTTGAGCCCACTATGCCTGCTCAGATGTTGGGATTATGACTTGAGGGCTTAGTGCCTGGGATTTGAGCAGCAGGGGACAGCTTAGCTGGGCTCTGGGGCAGAGCCTGTTACAGGTGGAAGCCATTACTGTGTGCACTTGCTTTATGATCCTGTTCCTTCAGTCCCCCCCAAACCCCAACGGAAACAGGAGCAGGAGCACCCGCTTTCCCACAGATGGATGGAAAAAACAAAGCTCAGAGACGCCATGTACAAGCCCTGGGTGTCACAGCTCATAAGCAAAGCAGATGGGATTTGAACCAGTGCTGCGATCCTGCCTGGCTTCTGAGGGGCCTCGGGGTGACTCAGGCTCCCCGGTCTGTCCCTGCATGACAGCTGCGTCTGTGTTCAGAACCCCCGAGTCTGCGGCAGTGGGGGGCAGCGGGGGAAGCCTGCCACAGCTGCAGCCCGGGGCAGCCACAGGAAGGAGGAGGCCATGACCACAGCGGTGTACGCAGAGAGGCCGGCAGGAAGGGGCCGCTTCGCCAGCCCTGCGCGCCCTCGGGCAGTGCGGCTGCGCCCGCCCGCCCTGCCCGCCCTGCCCTGGCTGCCAGAGGAGCCTGAGATAAAGAACTGACTTTCCATATGCTTGACGTTAACATGAGAAAACCCCACAAGGGTAAAAATACCAACAAGTTGATTTTAATTGAATTTTACCCCATCTTTTTTTTTTTTGGTTTGGCCTGGTCCCCTCTCTGAAAGCCATCTCGGAACGTCTGGGGGTTTTGCTGGCCCCGCGGTCTTTCAGGACCTCGTTTCAGGGCTTTGGTTTTATGGGGGTTCATTACAAGGCCCAGTACCTGACTTTTAAAATGTCCCCATGCTGTTTGTACGAAGGTCTTCCTGTGCTGCAGGACCTACAAAACCCGAGTCCAAGTCCAGGCGTGGTGGTACACAGCTGTAGTCCCAGCTGCGTTGGAAGTGGAGGTAGGGAGATCTAGGTCTGAGACCAGTCTGAACAAAGCTAACAAGATTACTGTCTGAAAAACAAACTAAACCCAGGCTGGGGGCATGTCAGCAGAGCAGTAGAGCACCTGCCTGTTATGCACAAAGCCCTGAATTCAAACCCTAGGACCCCCCCCCCAAATAAAGAACCACCACAACAAATCACACCCAAGTCCAGGCTGATCACAGAGCAGCGGCCCCTGTGCTTCTTGGTGTAGTAAGTGCTAACCTAGGAAAACATCCCTGTGGCATGTTTATTGAGGACCTACTATCCACCCTTTTCCAGTGCAGCCCCTTTCCCCGTCAGGGGCCTGGCTTGTGAGCCAGCTCGGCTGTGTGGCTGTAGACGTGGCTTCTTGTGTAATCTCCTTCCCTAGGTGGCAACCTGAACTTCCTGCTAGCACGGAGGGGGGGCTTGGCGACACCCAGAAACACACAGTGCAGATGCTCCTGCCCTTGGAGGGAGCCGCTTACAGAACTAGTAAGCCGGGCGCCTGTGGCTCACGCCTGTCATCCCAGCTACTCAGGAGGCTGAGATCTGAGGATCTCGGTTCAAAGCCAGCCCCCTCCCCAGGTGGGAGGGGAGTGGGGGGGGGGAGTCCATAAGACTCTTCAATTAACTGAAAAGCCAGAAATGGCGCTGTGGTTCAGAGCACTGGCCTTGAACAAAAGGGCCCAGGGACAGTGCCGGGGTCCTGAGTTCAACCCCCAGGGCGGGAAACAAACAAAAAATCCCAGAGACTGTTCTGCCTGGGCTGGCTCCAAACTGCCATCCTCAAATCTCAGCCTCCTGAGTAGCGAGGATCATAGGCGTGCACACCGATGCCCGCTGACCCTCGCCTTGTGACAGGCCCTGTGTGTGTGAGCCAGCCCTTGCCCGAGGGCCGCAGCGGCTGCCAGGCCTGTGCCCAGGATGGGGCTGGCTACCGCACTCCAGACCTGGAGCCCGGCCGGTTCGACCAGCCCTGCCGGGATCAGGGCGGAGGGGGAAGGGAAGCAAATGAAACCAGCGTTTGTGGGGCACTGCCCTGGGCAAGGGCTAGTGCGGTCCGCATTCTCCACTGGAGGGGGAGGCGAGCCGGGACCTGACGCCACACCCTAGCCATTATCTCCTTCTTGGCTGCACTCCTCTGCCTCAGTTTCCCCATCAGTCACCCTCCCTGCCTCGTGCCTGCAAGGCTCTGTTCTAGAATTTGGGGGGGGGAATTTTTGAATGATTTAGTGGAGATGGCACTCAGATATACAGCGCACTCCTTTGAAGAGTGGGCAGTGAACATGGACCGGCCCCACACGGCCTCGCACCCGCCATCCTGGCCACCGGAAGCGCCCGGTGCTTGCAGGTGACCTGTGAGCTGGCATGCAGCATCGTGATTTGGGGGTTCATTTCTGTTGTGGCAAAGGTCAGGGCACCTGTCCTTCATTTTGTTTCCAGACAGGGTCTTGCTGTATGGCCAAGGCTCATCCTGAATGCCTGGGCTCAGGGATCCTCCCATCCTCCTTCTGTGTGGCTGGGATTATAGGTGTGAGCCACCATACCCAACTTACTTCATTCCTTTCCAGAGTATAAAAAAAAAAAGCATTACCGTGTTTTTCATGACCACCTCACGTCCCATCATCCTGGCCCGGCTGTCCCCAGCGCCTCTCCCTCCTCCGAACCAGGCTCTCGTGATTTTAAAATGTCACCATGTACTGGCGCCAGCCCTGATGGTTTGGCCAGATGCCCAGTAAGCCCAGCCGTCAGGGAGGAACTGGAAGCTGCCCGGGCTGGAGAGAACAGGAGAGATCCGGCCGTGCACCACCCCAGCCTGCCCGTGCCTGGAGCCTGGGCCTCCTCCACCCCTCTCAGGGCAGCGTGGGGACAAGGCTGGTCCTGACCAGGCCGCTCCCCTCCCAATCACCCGGGGCCTCCCTTGAGATTGACAGCTCGGCCCTGCCCTCCCAAGGTCACGGCTGCAGGGGACAGCAGGATCGCGCACACCGGAGGCCGTGGCCTGGCGAGAACCAGGCCAGACTTGAGCACACGCTGCCTCTGTACCCAAGGCCCGAAGGAGCTGTGCCCACTGCAGGGCGGCCTTCTGGGAAGAGATGTCCCTCCCTCCCCACCCGCAGGCCCAGAGCTAGCCCAGAAGCCAGAGCCTCATGCCTGTCATCCTAGCTACTCAGGAGGCTGAGATCTGAGGATCGCAGTTCAAAGCCGCCCTGGGCAGGAAAGTCCATGAGACTCTGATCTCTAGTTAACTTCCAAAACTCCAGAAATGAAGCTGTGGCTCCAGTGGTAGTAAGCACTAACCTCGAGCAAAAAAGAGCCCAAGAGAAGGTGCCCAGGCCCTGAGTTCAAACTCCACAGCAACAACTAAAACTTTACTGAAATAAAATTCACCATTAAACTACATAAGTCACTGTGACTTCGGAAAAGTTGTCCAGCACCATTTTTCACAATATCTTTGCCACTTCCCAAAGAAGCCTCATTCTCTAAACCATCATTTTCTCCCCTTTTGCCTATTTCCCTTCCTGTCTCCATGGGTCAGGACACCTCATTTAAATGAACTTGTGGGACAGGATTTTTTTTAACCTGTCCTGAGGCTTGAACTCAGGGCCTGGGCACTGTCCCTGAGCTTCTTTGGCTCAAGGCTAGTGCTTAACTAAGGACAGCTTCACTTCTTTTTTTTTTTTTTTTAAGTTTAATGGAGATATGAGTTACATGGACTTTTCTGCCTGGGCTGGCTTCAAACCATGATCCTCAGATCTCAGATCTCTGCTTCTTAAGTAGCTAGGATTATAGGCGGGAGCCACCAGGCGCCCAGCCTGGAACAAGATCTTTGGTGTCTGGAGTATTTGATTCAGCCTCTTTCTTCAAGGGTCAGCCATGAGGTGGTGAATTCCAGTACTCCGTCCCTTTTCCTGACTGCATTGTATTCCTTTGTGTAGGCAGGCCTATTTACCAGTTGGCGTAGGCCTGGGTGGCATACTCTCCACTCACTGTGGCTACTCTGGGCTCTTGAGCCTCTAGGTCTCCCTGCTCATCTGGGCGCCGCTGGCTCACATCTGCAATCCTAGCTACTCAGGAGACTGACACTGAGGATTGTGGTCCAAAGCCAGCCCAAGAAGGAACGTCCGTGAGACTCTTATTGCCCGTTAAGCAGCAAAAAGTTGGAAGTGGAGCTGTGGCAAAAGTAGTAGCACTCCAGTCTGAGAGAAAAGCTAAGGGCCAGCACCTAGGCCCTGAGTTCAAACCCCACTATTGGCACAACCCCCACCTCCCCCCCCACACAAATTCTCCCTCTTGTCCCTGAGATTGAGATGAGAGGTCCGGGCTCTTCTTCTCTGAGCTCCTCTGGAAAGTTCCGTGAGGGGCAAAGCTACAGCTGAATAGTGTGGAACTCACAACCGACAACTCTTTCTTGTGATTTTCCCTTCCCCTCCTCGAACCCAGCAAGGAAAACTTCAACAATGTTCCTGACCTGGAGCTCAACCCCATCCGGTCCAAAATCATCCGTGCCTTCTTTGACAACAGGTGGGCCCCTCCCCCGGGAGGGGGGAGGGTCCTTGGCCGTGGGTTCCCATCAGCCCCCGGGGGTGGGGGGGTGCCTCAGACGGGCTCAGCAAAGCCGTCCTGTCTGCCTGCTGCAGGGGAGATGTGGGGGGGACCGGGGAGGGAGGGCAGAGAGCAGAGCCGGGGGCGGGGGGGGCAGGGGCTCTGAGGGCAGCACACGGTGCTCGTGCGCCTTATAGAAGGTATTTGGAGACAGCAGGACGTCTGCCCACAGCTGTTACCCCACTAAACCTGGGAAGCACCCCCAGCAAGCGTTCTCTGGGGAAGGCTGTGTGTCCTGGGCCTCAAAACCGCGCCGCACCGGCCACAGGAAGCCAGAGCCACCGCGGGTTCCCATGTTCTATTTATAGACCCTGAACTTCGAATGACACAAAAACTTCGTTGGCAACGAAACAGTATTTTATTTTTAAAAACATTTTCCCAACCATTGATGAATGTTAAAAAAAAAAAAAAAAGCCAGGCGCCGCTGGCCCCCGCCTGCGTCCTCGCTGCTCGGGAGGCTGAGACCCGAGGATCGCGGTTGGAAGTCAGCCGGGTCCATGAGACTCTCATCTCCAATGAGCACCTGAAATCGGGAAGTGGCGCTGGGGCTCAGCGTGGCAGAACTCTAGCCTTGAGTGAAAACGCTCGGGGACAGCGCCCAGGCCCTGAGTTCAAAACAAAACCCCCTGAGTGGATGGACTGTCCAAAACCAGGCGAGGGTCAGGCGGGGGAATGGCTGAGCTGTTGGCTTGCCGGTGGCCTCAGTTTCCCCAAACCGGGGCCCCTCCCCCACGCCGGCCCCTCCCCCTGCAGGAACCTGCGCAGGGGCCCCAGCGGCCTGGCCGACGAGATCAACTTCGAGGACTTCCTGACCATCATGTCCTACTTCCGGCCCATCGACACCACGCTGGGCGAGGAGCAGGTGGAGCTGTCCCGGAAAGACAAGCTGAGATGTGCGTGGGGGTTCGGGGGGGGTGGCATCCTGGGGTGAACGGGCTCTAAGGGGCAGGGTTGGGGTGCGTCTCTTCCTGGTACGTCTGGGTGGCTTCATCCTAAACAGCTCAGCCTTTCGTGGCTGGCTGGGAGAAGGGGGGGGGATTCGAACACACCCTGGATCTCCACGCAGCGCCTCTGTGCGGGTACCCCGTGACCGTGACCCCTGACCCTGGATGGGGTGGGGGTGGGTGGGACGATGTTGAACAGGGGCAGGGGCACGGCGGAGGCTCTGGGCACATCGTACCCCATGGCAGGGTGCGGCTCCCTGTAGTCTCGAACTTGCGTTGGCTCCTGCACAGCCTCATTGCAAGCGGGGCGCGGGGTTGGCCTCCGTCCCCAGCGGTCCCGGGGTGCGTGAGGGGGTGGATGGGGGGACGAGGCCAGGGCAGCCAGTAACTGATGTTTGCTGGGAGTTCGTTTGGCCCGCGCTGGCTCACCCCCGCTGCCGTGCCTGCGCCCCGGGGACCCCCGGGCTCTTGAGTCTTGCCTGACGGAGCCCCTGTCTCCCACGCCCCGCTCCAGTTCTGTTTAACATGTACGACTCGGACAGCGACGGCCGCATCACCCTGGAAGAATATCGAAATGTAAAGTATGCTCCCCGCCCCGCCCCGCCCTGCCCGGCTGCCCGGCGCCTCGCGGCCGCCAGGGTCACCCTTGGTCTCTGGCAGGTGGTGGAGGAGCTGCTCTCCGGAAACCCCCACATCGAGAAGGAGTCGGCGCGCTCCATCGCTGACGGGGCCATGATGGAGGCGGCCAGCGTGTGCGTGGGGCAGATGGTGAGCGCCCGGCCTGCGGAGGTGGGCGGGGGGGGCAGGGGGAGAGGCTGGGGGGTCGAACCCCAGACCTGCAGCTCTCCAGCCAATGTGTGTGAGTCACTCCACACGCTCACTGGGCCCCAACTGGGCTTTCCCTGCCTCAGTCAGGCTGTCCTGGGCTGGGCCGGGCCGGGGCAGGGCACCACACACCCCGGCCTGTTTTAATGGGTGACAGAGGCAGTGCTGGGCTGGTCTCTTCCCTGGGCTGAGGAGGAGGCTGGTGTGCACCCCGCCTTCAGGCAGATCCCGTTTTTAGCTTCACCTTGCCAGCAGGGAAACTGAGGGTCATATGGGGCTGGGGTCTTCCCAGTGCTGGGGGCTGCTGGGCCGGCTGGGGCCCGGGTTCTAGTGAGGTCAGTGCCCACTTGCCTCTGCGCGGACGGTGGCCGTGTCTGGCCGGCCCGGAGGAGGGCGAGTTTGCATGGCAGTTCTACTGTCTGTCGCCTGGCCTGTCTGTCATCGAGGGGCACGTTTGCTTCCTAGCTCCTCAGGACAGGGGGCGCTGTGACCCCTGGGGTCAGCACAGCAGTCTTGGCTGAATCCCATTCTCCTTCCACTTGCTTCCTGTCCCCCTTGCGTCCGTTGGCAACAGCTCTCTCCATTTGCTGTAGTTAAACTGCTGGCCTGGCAGCGGATCTGCAGCCTCAGACGCTGCGGCCTCCCTGAGCCGGGCCCAGCTTCCCGGGTGTGGCCCAGAGCCCCAGGAGGGCAGCGATGGGCCAGAGAAGAGCCTGGAGCCAGCCGAGAGCAGGATGCTCTGGCCACACCTCTTCAGGCTTCTGGCCCCTCTATGTGGTGAATGGGTTTTCTGGTGTGAACCCTGGCCCGATGAGCACAGAGCAAGCTGTCGGTGTCTCCGTGCGGCCCTGTGCGGGGGCTTCACCCCTGCGGCCCTGGGGCCCACCGTGCTTCCCACTGAATTCAACGCGTGTGCGCCATCCCTGCCTTAATGGATTTCAGGGCCGTGCTGGCCAGGCCAGGCTGTTGGCCAGCCATGCTGTCACAAGGGGCAGGGGACGAGGGCTGTGGACGCTGGGCCGCGTCAGGGCTCGCGAGCAGTGGGGACCCGCCCTTCATTGCCCGCATCCTCAGAGCTGGCAGATGCACGGGACACTGCCACTTGCAGGCCGCACTCCGCACCCCTCCCCGGTGGGCTGGGCTGTGACTCGCAGCAAGCAGATGGCCGCAGAGGCCAGTCCTTCAGTCCCTGTCCCTTCCCCCGGGCGACTGTGACTGCTGATTAGCTAGACAGCTCTTATCAGGGTGGCAGGAGGGACCGGGGGCTGAGGGAGCACACGGAGTCCCGTCCACCTTCTTCACCAGCCCATCCTGCCAGGATGTTGGAGTTCAGAGTGGCCCCAGGGGGAACCCCTCTCCTGGGGGGGGCGGGCTGCCCCACCCTGCAGAGGCCGCTTACCCCCCCTCTCCCCTCTGTCCCAGGAGCCGGATCAGGTCTACGAGGGCATCACCTTTGAGGACTTCTTGAAGGTGGGTGCCGTGTGGGCTTGGGGGTCAGCACGGAGGGGCGGTCAGGGGCGTCCGCTGGGCACGAGGCGGTGTGGCACAGGCGGCCGTGGGCAGCACGGCCTCTGGCAGGAAGGACTTGCAGACGCTGCCGTCATTGACCTCCAGGGAAATGGTGTCTCATGGGGCAAGAGCAGCGCGCGTCACACGGGTGGATCGTGACGAGCCCAGCGCTGGGCTGGCCTGGACAGAGCCGTGCGCCCCTTCCCAGGGCACTGCAGTCACAGTGGGGCAGGGGCATTCTGGAAGGTTCTGGATGAGCAGCTCGTGCAGGAGTGGATCTTGCTCTCCTCCCTCCGTCCCCAGTGAGTCTTGGTGCCGTGGTTAAAGCCACTAGCCCCTGGTATCCCCCCAGTGGGCCTCCACCCCTGCTGGGGTTGTGTTCATTTTTGGTGCTGGTACTAGAGCTTGAATTCAAGGCCCGGGGCTCTCACCTAGGTTTCTTGCTCATGGCTGGTGCTCTACCATTTGAATCATGCCTTCATCCTGGCATTTTGTTGGCCAAATGAAGATGGAAACTCAGACTCTTCTGGCTGTGCTAGCTTTCAACCTCCATGCCTCATTTCTCAGCCTCCTGAATTGCTGGGATTTCAGGCAGGAACCAGCTAGCCATTTTTAACACGCCCTGAAGTGGGGGGAAGAAACTGTGTGAATATCCCACGAGACGAATGCAGAGCTCCAGGCCTCACACACCCACCGGGGCTCCTGGCCCAGCGGCACCAAGCCCTCCACCAAGGCCTGTTCCTGGAAGGGCCAGAGCCTCTGGGGAGCCCGGGGACCAGGGCTGGGGGTTTTACGTCTGCTTCACTGGCTGGGCCTGTCATGGGGAGGTATGCACAGGACAGGCGATGTAGACCCAGCCCAAGGAACAGAGACAGGCCTGCTGGGCTGGAGCTGGTGGTCAGACTCACTACCCAGAGCTGACAGAGCAGTGACACTGTGTGCAAGTAGCTCTGGCTTGCACTGGGATCTGCTCCAGGAAGTGTCCCCAGCAGGATGAGAGAGCATGGAGCCAGATCGGGCAGGCAGGCGCTGGCTTTGTCAGAACAGGGTGAGCCTGTCTTGTCTCAGACCATGCAGAGGCTGTTGGTCTATGCCTTGGAGCATCCTACGATAAGCCAGCCCCCACCCAGCACCCCAGTGACCACCCTAAGAGCAGAAACCAACTTGAAGTGGTTCTAGGCGGCATTTCTGAGAACCAGGTCTGCCCTCTGCAGCAGGTGCGGGAGGCCAGCAGCATGGGGACAGCATGGGGCCTGGGGGCGGTGACAAGAACAAGCAGGGCCCCAGGCCTCTCCAGCCCTGGGGGCCCCGGGCCCTGGCCTCCCCATTTCTAGCCCCAGGGCCAGATGTTCCAGGCGACAGCTTGTGAACATGGCGTTCTGACATGAGCCGGAGACAGTGGGACATCACAGCCTGCCAGGCCCCACCGCTCCTGTGCCCACACTCCCCGCCCCATCTTCTCCCCCGCCGACCCCCCCGGCCTGCAGATGCCACAGAGACAGTGAAGGTGTCCTGCAGGCCAAACGTCCAGGCCACAGCTGACTAGGGTGGGCTGGCGTGGAGGGGCCACATGTGCGGCGTGGACACCACTTCCTGGGCCCGTGTTTGTGTGGAGCACAGGTGATCTCTGGGCCCAAGGAGTCACGAGGACCAAAGTGTGTCCCTTTAATGAGCGACGTTCTCCACGGCTACGAGATGTCTTGGGGAGGGCCAGGCCACCCAGGCCCCGAGCCTGAGATGGGGTGAACGCAAAGGGGGTCCCGCGGGGTCACGTCATCCGCATGAACTCAGAGCTGGCGGCGGCCATGGGTGAGATCAAGTGACTGGGGTGAAGCTGGGGTTTGGGACTTAATCATAACTCGCCGTCACAATCTCAGGAAGAATCCACATCAGAGCCAAATGAACCAGCACCAAGACAGATGGCAGCTTCTCTTCCTCGCTTAGCTCACCGCCTCCAAATGAAGCCCCTCTGTTTTTCACCTGCTTGGAGTCTGAGCGAGTGCCGAGGCGGGTGGGACGGATGGGGCAGGCGCTGAGCACCCCTTCGCCCCTTCACGCTGCTCTCCCTTCCAGATCTGGCAGGGGATCGACATTGAGACCAAGATGCACGTGCGCTTCCTCAACGTGGAGACCATCGCCCTCTGCCACTGACACCTGTGGCCCCGCGGGGCAGGAGCGCTTGCCAGGGGTGCCAGGGGTGGCCGGGGTCCCTGAAAGCTACCAGTCACTCATCTGTGTCCCACAGAGTGTGCTATACGAGGCCTTGCTATTTTTATCAACAACAATAATGATAATAAAGGTTTGTTAGTGAATGGCTCTGTCGGTTGCTCAGCTCCTATGAAGGGCTGGGTTTGTGTCCCAAGACAATATGGACAGCGGGTGGCCATTTTATTTTGCCAGTCCTGGGGCTTGAATTCAGGCCTGGGCGCTGTCCCTGAACTTTTGTTCAAGGCTAGCACGCCTTGAGCCACAGCGCCACTTCTGGCTTTTTTCTGTGTATGTGGTACTGAGGAATTGAACCCAGAGATTCATACATGCTAGGCAAGCATTCTACCACTAAGCCACACTCCCAGCCCCATGGGTAACCATCTTAATGGTCCCCCCTTGTTTATCTGGGGTGTGGGGTGCTGTTTTTCCCACAGGAACATAGACCCTACCTGTCTTCAGCCTAGAGGAGAGGCCGCTGCCCCCAGATGGGCATTGAGGGGAATGCAGCCCCAGCTGTGTGCACTGGGCACACCCCAGCACACTCGGTACTGGTGTGTGGGTGCTGGGGCTCATGGCCGGCTGACCCCCAGCTCCTGGCAGCAGGGACCTGTGGCCCCTAGCACAGGTGGTAGAGCCAGGCATTGCTCACCTCCAACCCGCCAACCCTGGCTGTCAACTTCCAAATGAAAGACGGCATCAAGGGGTGTGCGTGTGTGTGTGTGTGTGTGAGAGAGAGAGAGAGAGAGAGAGAGAGCGCGCACAGAAACAAAGGCCATGCACCCCAGTGGAGGTGGGCAGCAAAGGTTGGGGGAGGCTGGCATTCCTTGTAGTTGGTTCTCCAAGTCTCTTGTGGGTATTTACAAGATGCTTGGTTCAGCTGCTGATACTTGTTTGGCGCTATCTCCCTACCTTCCAGAAAGTTCTCTGGATACCCAGCCATGGCTGCTGTTTAGTTTCTCATTTGGTTTTAATACTGAGCATGCGCGGTCTCCTCTGTTCCGCCCCAGCCTTGGGTTTGTAGAAACCCAAGATCCCCTAGGAAACATGTTCTGGGGGGGGGTGAACCTGTGGGTATGCCCCTCCTGGTCTGGAGGTTCAGCTTGCTCCTTGGTACAATCCTGATAACACTGATAGTGAGCCAGGCTTAGAGCTGGTCTCCATGAGGGTCTCGGGGTGTGTGTGTGTGGGGATGCTGATGCAGAGACGGCCTCCTTGCCCGGGGCAAGGTAGCTGTCCCAGCCCCAGGCCCCCAAGTGTTTTCTTCTGTGGCTGGTTCTTGGTGTTGGATGGTTTACTTTCACGCATGTCCTGATCTGACGCTCATCATTAGAAATGTGGCAGCCCATCGGGGTCCCCGGGCTGCGTCTGAGGTTCAAGGTGGTGTTAAATGGCTAAACAAAGGGAGTGGCAAATCAAAGGGATGCGGGGACTGGGGAGGCAGTGGGCTTTGGGAGATCCCCCCGCCACAGGGGGTAAGCTGAGGTCCACAGGTTTCCGGTTGGGAGGGGCTCCTGGTGTGGCAGACGACAACTGGAGGCCATTCGGCTCCTCCTCACGTGGCGGGCGGTGGTCAGTGCGCGAGACCGTGCTCGGCAGCCCTGCTGATGCACGCACGCCAGGCCTCAGCTCCACCAGGGCTGAGGCAGCAGGCGGGAAGGGAGGCTGGGAATGTGGGGAGACAACGCCTTGCCAGGTTGTCCCTGCGGGCCGGGCTGGGGTTCTAGGAGGTCGCTGGGGTGGTGTGAGGGGCCGACGTCATCACTGAGCTCCTCTCCAGGAAGTGTCTGGAACCACACCGCTGGCTCCATGCCTGCGGTGGGCAGGCCTCGTCTCCTGAGCAGCCTGCCTGCCATGGGCCCGAGTTCTGAGCCACTCCCCTGTGTTCTGATTTTGATTTTTCTAACAAAGGCAGTTCATGAATGCAAAATGGTTTTTATAAATAATAAATAACCGCCCTGGGCCCCCATGCAGGGCGCTGGCGCTGGGGGACAGAGCCGCTGTGGGCTCGTTCGTGCCCGGTGTCTTTGAAGCTTTGGGCCGTGGTTCATCTAGAGTGTGATTCCACGTCTCGTGCGTGCTGCTGGGATGCGAGCTCCTCTCCCAGCACGAGGGTGCTGTCTAGCTGGCAGGGTGAGGCTCTGGGGCTCCAGGGTTACCTGGGGCTCTGCTGCCAGATCCTGGAGTGCTTTGCACCAGTGGTGTGGGCTGAGTTGGTGCAAACCTGCTCTCCGCCTGTGCAGCCTAATTCCCAGCAACCCGCGGGGCGGCTGGCCTTCGATCAGCAAAGACGGAGGGCCACTGCTCCAGGCATGGATGTGGGGGTAGCCAGGCCATCTGGGCAGTGAGGCCTGTGAGACAGGAAGCAGGTGGCTGGGGAAGGATTCTTGCTACCTGCCCAGTGCTGGGCCTGCCCAGGAGGGGAGTTCTGGCTGCACAGCCCCTGACTGAGGGCAGCAGCCCCCCTACGCCTGGCAGGGGATACAAACCAAACCGAACAGCCTGAAGCAGGTGCTGCTTGCGCCTAACTTGTTCTAAGAGAGGCGGATGAGAAGGGCTGGTAACGATCTTTCCCATCTGAAGTTACACGGAACTAGGTGGAATTCAGCACTAAGTTAAATATTTGGAGGCCGCTGATAAGTGGGCACTGGGAGACCAGGGCTGTGGGTGGAGAACCAAGCAGGGACAGGGGACCCGGGCAAAGGCCACTTCCTTTCTCCAATCTTCAGCCCTCTGCTGGAAGAACCTGCCTGTACTGCCATGCTACCTGTGGGAAGGGTGGTTTGTGGCAAGCACGTGAGCGGAGCTTCACATAGGGCTGCAGAATGGAAACTTTATAGGAGCGGCCGGTGGAAACTGGCAGCGGGTGACACATGAATTATGGATGGGGACTGGGCAGGACCACAGGCCCTCTGCCCTGGCCTCTGGGGAACGAGTTATTAAGAGGCCAACAAAAGAGAACCCCTTGCTATTATTTTTGGGTCCAAGTGACTAGAAAGTTCTTTTTGCTGTGCTAACAGGAAAGCATCCATCACAGCTCTGGCCGGGTCCCTGCCCACCTGAGGTGAGGAAGGCTGTGGGGTGCCCTGGGGCTCAAGCGGGCCGCGTTAAAACTGCAAGGAGCCTGGAGGGTCTGGAAAGCACTGGCTGTGTAGGTGTCTTCCCAAGGTCACCTTGGGGTGGCGTGAACAGGGGCCAGGACCATGTCACCCCAGTCTGGGGCATCCTTGGGGTCTTTGTCTCTGGCTCTGCCAGTGTGTACACCGGCCAGCAGGCCAGGTGTGGGTGAGAACAGCCAGGAGGGCTGGGTCCAGGGCAGGGAGTCGGCAGGAGACGAAGCCTGGGCAGGGCATGTGGGCACCTTGCGGGCCGTTCCCCTGGGCAGCAGTGAGGGGAAGGGTGCATGGACGGAGCATGCTGCCCTGTCCATTTCTGAGAAGCCGCCAGCCGTCTCCATGCCTGGGCAAGGGCGGGCTTTCTCCTTTCTGGGGAAAGAACAGGGCCTCGCACAGAGCCAGGGGCTGCTCCTGGAGGCCCGCAGCCCCCCTGAAGCCCAGCGGGCGGGTATCTGCCGCTGCACAGGAGAGCGGTGTGGCCAAGTCGCCACAGGCCCTGCTTCAGCAGCCAGGTAACCATCTGGCCTGGCTGCCTGGGGTGATGGGCAGGTCTGTGTGGCACGCGCGCCACCGCCTGGCCAGCCAGCACCGTTGGCTCACTGCGGCCGCAGCTGCTATTCAAAGCGGGCACCCCAGTCAGGGGAGCTGCACCCCGGCCAGAGCAAGCGCAGCAAGGCTGCTTCAGCCAGCAGCCAGCTGGGGCTGGAAGCATTGCCCCCTACCACGTGCTTCTCCCAGGGCAGAGGCTCGGTTCCCCTGAGGGAGGACTTCCTGGGGCCATCACCTTCCCTGGCATGGACTGGAGGGCAAGGAAAGGTGGGTCTTGTGGTCCCTGGACCAGGAGTCCCCTCCTACCCGCCCCTGCCAGCACGACAGAGTGGGAGCGAGCTGGCAGCGTGCGCCCTGCAGTGGGAAAGTAAGCTGACCACAGGAAGTTGACGGCACTTACTGTGTAATGGGGAGTGGCGTGCAGGGCGGGGGGGGGGGAGGAAGGGGAAGAAGGGGGCGATGCCGAGGCCACACAGCTGACGGGCACTGGAGGTCCAGAGAAGTGCCACCAGAGAAGCTGCGTCACCAGCAAGCGCTGGGCTACAGTGGAGCAGGAACACAAAGGCTCTATGGAATTTTGTTGTTTTTGTTTTGTTGGTCGTGGGGCTTGAACTCTGGGCCTGGGCGCTGTCCCTCAGCCATTCAGCTCAAGGATAGAGCCACTGCACCACTTCCAGTTTTCTGATGATGAATTGGAGATTAGACTCTCATGTACTTTCCTGCCCAGGCTGGCTCTGAATTGCAATCCTCAGATCTCAGCCTCCTGAGTAGCTAGGATTACAGGCGTGAGCCACCAGCGCCTGGCTTTTTTTTGGCTAGTCCTTGGGGCTTGAACTCAGGGCCTGGGCACTGTCCTTGAGCTGCTTTTGCTCAAGGCTAGCACTCTACCACTTGAGCCACAGCACCACTTCTGGCTTTTGCTGAGTATGCAGTGCTGAGGAATCGAACCCAGGACCTCATGCATGTGAGGCCAGTGCTCTACCACTGGGCCACATTCCAGCCCCCTGAAAACCATTTTTAACTTTGGTGAGATTTCTGGGTCTCATTTCTTTGAAGCTCTTCAATGGGCTTGGGAGGGGGACTGCTGTAAGATGAGCTGCCCTCCTGAAAAGAAAAGGCGTCTGGGGAGGCTTCCAAGCGGGACAGGACGAGTGAGCAGGAGGCGGGGCCTGGGCGGCTTTGCTCAGGGAGGCGTGGGTGATGGACAGTACAGGACCACACAGGGCGGGAGGGGCTCTCAGGGGTCTGAAAGGAGGCAGCATCAAGGTCTGGCTTCAGGCTCTCTTCAAGCCCTCCAGGCCTTGGCTAGAGCTGGAGCTCCGTAGCAGGGTGAGGAACACAAAGCCATCACTTGTGGGCCTCGGGTGATGGTGAGCGAGGGGAGGCCCGGGTGAGCAGAGCCAGTCACCGCCGGTGCACCTGCAGAGCCCCCAAGACGGCCTCTGGCTCCCTCCCGCACCTGTCCTTCGCGTTCTGGGAACTGCGGGGCTCCTGCCCCCATCCCGGGACAGCCCCAGGGGGCTCAGTCCCCTCTGCAGTGCCCCCTCCTTGCTCCAGCCCCGCGCTGGCTCCCAGCCCCAGGGGGCTCAGTCCCCTCTGCAGTGCCCCCTCCTTGCTCCAGCCCTGCGCTGGCTCCCCGGGTTTGGACGTTCAGCACCCTCTTAGAGAAGTGCTATTTCTCTTTTTATTCCCCTCTAAGGCAGAGTCAGAGGTGTCTGGAATTTCTACAGGCTTTTCCATAACGGGCGTTGTGATTCTAGCGCCACGGCCCTGGGGTTGGGACCTTCTGCTCACTGAGAGACTTGGTGGCCGTCACACAGCGTGTCTGGCGCGTGGTCTACAGGAATGTGAAAAGGCACAAAGCTCTGTGGGCCAGGGTTAATGACTGTGTCCACGGCCTGACTGCCTTTCCCTCTGTAGCTCCATCAGTGGTCGAGGTGGCTGTGCACCGGCGCAGCCACGAGCTGCGGGTGGGCACTCGCAGGACTGTGGAGAGAGGCTCCTGGTCCCCTGCCCGCCTCCCCGTCCTCACAGCAACCCCGTCTCCCATCCCCGGAGAGAGTGGCCGCTTAATCCACATTAGAAAATGTTTACTGTGTGTCAACGCAAAATAGTCCCCATGAAATAACTGTATAAATATATAACTATGAGCCATGGTAAAATCTATCCAGAAAAAGCACTGCTTGCTAAGTGTACATTGGGTGGTGGTGGAGCGGGGTACAGCTCACTGATCCTCAGTGCCTGAGTAGGATCTGCGACCCAAAGGAAGGAGGTGCCGAGGCTGGGGCACCTCAAGGACTCCAGGGAGAAAGAGTCCACTGGGCCTTGTGGAGCTGAGGTCCCAGTGCCCAGGACGAGGCCAGGGAGGGTGTCAGGTCCCAGATAGGCCAGGCCGGGCAGCATGTGGAAGGAAGTTCAGTTTGAGTCATTAGTGTGTGATATTCAAAGCCACTGGAGAGAGAGAGCGAACAGAGCAAGATGAACAAAGCCTGCTGATAAGCTCCAGGGTGGGGGGCAGCAGGCGGCTCAAACCTTTGCCACCCAGTGCAGGGCACTGTGGTAAATGGATAAAATTACCTGCCCCGTGTTCTCTCTACTCCCAGGTGGGGTGACTCCCTACACACTGTCATAGGGAAAGGCCAGTGCGAGGTCGTAGTTGTACGCAGCCATGACGTCACAGGACGAGCGGCAGACAGGAAGAGGGCTCTGAAGGGCCAGCTGGTCCACCGCAAACTCGTAGGCATGGATCAGCCCCCGGTGTCTGGAGGAAGCAAGGAGGGAGCACAGGTCAGGACAGCCTCTGTCTGCAAGAGGTACGTGTTATACAGGTCTCCCGGGGCACGCTGTGTGTCAAGCAAGCAGACGAGGAGGCCTCAGAGCGACTAGCCAATAGTGAGATCGTAAGCAGCCCCTGCGCCCTCCTGCCCTGGTCCTGCCTGGGCTCCCTCTTGGCCAGGCTACTGCCATCTCCCGGTCCTCCCTGCACAGGCGCTGTGGGCGGCGGGGGGCACATCCGGGAAGCACCCCGTACGCATGCTCTGGGCTCCCCTACGGCCCACACCGCGTTCCCACCTCCTACAAAGGGGGCCAGGCCTGGACACAGATGCGGCTGAGGTGGCATCAAGGCGGTTTCATCAGCAAGCCATGGCTAGCATCTGACCTCCTGTGTGTGGCGAAGTTGTCCAGGTCGGAGTTGCGCACCACCCTCTCATAGGGCACGTGGGCTGTGACGAGGCTGTGGTTGTTGAAGGCTACGTGGCGCACAGGGTGTCTGCAGACAGAGGAGAGACGCACCGTGAGTGTGTGTGGAAGCACAACGGACACCTGCTCTGTGCTCGGACGCGGACTCACAGCAGAGGCGGCAGTGTCCACAGGGCCCTGTCCCGCCTCCACTCCCGAGGCTGGCTGGAGATCGGACCAGCAAGGCACTTGTGTTTCGGGGCCTAACGACTCAAGGGAAACTGACCATCTGTGTGCAGGGAGGCCTGTCCCCTTTCTGTGGCCCTGGTTGGAAGGCCTGGGGTGGGCCTGGGGTGGGGAGAGCGAAGGGCCCAGTGGGCCCCATGGCTCTGCGCTCTGGGTGGGAAAGCATGTTCCGAAGATCTGGGAAGGAGACATTGAGTCTGTTTGCCAAAACAGAGACTTCTTCCATCCTAGAGCACTGCCTGCAGTGCTTGCTGTGACCACAGCACAGAACCAGGAAATGCCAGGTGGCACGGCGTCTCAGAGGGGTTCCCAACTAGCAGGAGGTAACTGTACCCCTCTAGAAAGTAGCCAAAGCGAGGGCAGGATGGGAGACACCAGTCAGGCCGGCTGAGAATGGTACAGCGGAGGACGGGCTGGCTGGAGGCAGGGGAGGCCTCAGGTTAGAGGCGTAGGCCGGGGAGGATGGGGGAGGAGAATGACAGGGAAAGGCCTAGTCTCAGCCTGACTGCTGGTGCCAGACAGGAGGATGACGGATGGAGTAGATGGCTGCACTTGAGCTTAGGAGAGGCATGGATGGGTGGGGCTCCTGGGCCTGGAAGCCTAACACTCACTGGACTCTTGACAGGCCCTGCAGAGGGAAGGGATCAGTTGGTGGGTGAAAATGCCCCTGGGGAGGGAGGGGACAGGCAGCTGCTGGTGCTAGCTGTGGCAGGACCACAGCTAGGGGAGACCTGGCCTGGACCACTCGCCTGGCTTGCCCTGAATGGCCTATAGGAAGGCACAGCACCACAGAAATCAGCTCATTGGGAAACAGCCAGGCAGGGTCTGGCCTCCAGGTGGGGAGGCAGCAAGGTGCCGGGATTCCAGCCTTGTGATACCACCTAGTGGCCACACGGTGAATCACCACGGACTTCAGCGGTGACAGGTGCACTGCTTCCCAGACTGAGACTTGCCACTGGAAGGCTTTGTTCCTGGTCTCCTGATTGTGCTCCTGTCTCTAGAATGTGGGTGTGGAGAGGCACTGAAAGACAGCCAGAGAGGCAAGCTCTCCCACACAGCCTCTACTTTGAGGTTATGAAGTAGGCTCTTGCTGGTCTTGGGGCTTGAACTCTGGGACTAGGTGCTGTACCTGAGCTTCATTTGCTCAAGGCTAGTGATCTACCACTTACTTGTGCCACAGCACCACTCTGAGCTTTTTCTGAGAAGCTTATTGGCAGTAAGAGTCTCATGAACTTTCCTGCCCGGGCTGGCTTGGCATCACAAACACTCCTCAGCTCTCGGCTTCCTGAGTAGCTGGGCTCACGAGCGTGAGCTAGTGGCGCCGGCTCACAGGGCTCTTTTAAGCAGTTGGGCTCGTGTGTCATGGCAGGGTGTGGGCTCTTGAACCACATTTGCTTTTCACCAGTTCTTCTTGGCGGGAGAACGGTTCCCACCTGTCTGCCTGTGCGTGGGATGTTGTCTATTTATCTGCTGAATAGCTGCATTAAAGGCTGAAATGACAAATATCTCCTAGCGGAAGCAGCCAAACAGCCTGAGGAAAGCCCTAGCAGTAGAGAGGTGACACATGAACAGAAGGGCTTGCAGGCAGACAGGTGTCCCTGGCCCTCAGTGGGGTGCCACTTGGGCAGACAGGTGTCCTGGGGCACACCAACCCCTTGGCTCTCATTGGGGTGGGTCACATCCTGTCCAGCTGAGCTGGTTACCTCCATTTTCCAGTTACCTTTCTGCCTTCCCAATAAGATGGTGGAATTCTAAAATGACAGTAGAGCACTCCTGAGAAATGGCTGAGGGCAGGCTAGGCATAAAGCATGGTGTACTAAGATGAGAGCGGCTGCAGCTGCAGGCCTCAGTGTCCTCGTGAGAGCTGGCGCTGGCACCGGCAGAAGGGAGGCCCCGGGGGGGGGCGGGGGGCACCTCACCTGGAGTGGGCCTCCCACAGCTTCTGGTTCATGCGATAATCCCACACAGACACCAGGCCTTCCTCGCCTCCACTCACAATCTTCCAGTCGTCCATCTGGACGGCAGAGACCCCCAGCTGGTGAGCGGAGAGGGACAGGGCGATTTTATCTGTGCGGAGGTCATGGATCCTCACCCTGGAGAAGGGAGAAAGGGAAATGGGGTTAGCGCTACTGCCCCAAATGACCAAGTCCCTGACATTCCTCAGGTGGGAAACTGGATATTGTGAGTGCATTACCATCCTGTGGTCATTTAGAAAGTGTGAGCCGGGCACCGGTGGCTCACGCCTGTAATCGTGGCTACTCAGGAGGCTGAGATCTGAGGAACACAGTTCAAAGCCAGCCCAGGCAGGAAGGTCTGTGAGATTCTTATCTCTAATATGTGACTCCAGCCTTGACCAAAAAAGGTCAGGGACAGCTCCTAGGCCCTGAGTTCAAGACCCAGGACTGAGAAGAGAGAAAGGACCAACTCTGTCCAAAGATCTGTACAGCAACCTAAGGCGACTGGACAAAGAAGAAAGAAAGGATCAAGGCTGTCCAAAGACCTGTGCGGCAGATCCTCTCTCGGTGCTTCAACTATCCACATGAAAGCAGGGACAGAAAAATTTAGCCCAAGTACTTTTTCAGTGTGTGTTTGGTGAACAGGGTGTATTCTGCTGTGGCTATGTCCATGAAGAGCCCCTGAGCCCCTGTTGGATATTTATAGTCTATAATTTACAGCTTGGCTGTTAAGGAGACAAAAGCAAACATAAATTTGGTCCAGAAGTTCAAAGTTTACCATCTGTTTTCCTATTGTATTTTAATATTAGCACGGAGGGCTCCAACCAAATAAACAGCTACACCAAGACATACAGCAGCAGTGTCCTTGACAGTACTGGCCCAGGCAGACTTGAATACCTCCTCCCTGGCCCAGGAAAAAAGGGGGGTCCTTTCTTCTCCCCCTGACATCTTAAGAGGCATTATTCTGGATTCTTGTCTACAGACAGCAATGCAAACTCTCCAGCAGGCCAAGTCCACTCAGGCCATCAAATTTACAGAAAGTGAGAAGTGGGGATGGGCCTCGAACGCCTGACGGTGAAATGCAGTGGACCTCGGCCAGCCTGCATTCTCTGCACGCCACGCAGCACTCCACACTGGGCAGCAGGTAGTACAACAAACGGGCCCGACGGCATGCCAAGACGCCAATTCCAGGGACAAAGGGAGCCAATGGGAGCTGGTGTGATCCTCCATCGAGCGGGGATTTCATCAACTTTGCCCACTGAAAAGAAAAATAATTGGTCCGAAAGCTGTAATTGTATTATGTTTAATATTCATGGTTGGGCTTGGAGGACCGTTCCAACACTCCCTCTCTGCAGCCCCTCTAATGAAAATCACACCCTAGGAGGCGGCTCTAGCCCGCCAATTAAAACAAAAGACACCAGAACCTTCCAAAGACTCCAGCAGAGGAGCATCCATCTGATGGCAGGAAAACGTGCTGGAACCGAGGGGGAGGCACGCTCGGGATGGTCCTGTGTTAAGGGCTCTGAATAACTTATTCTAACATTGCAGATGGAGCAAAGGCAACATTTGCGCCCCGTGCGGGCTCTGACAGCAGGCAGCAAGCCACGACTTTCTATCTGTCAGGCGGCAGGAAGCGCGCAGACTCTTTAATTGGGGGCGCAACTTCCTATTGGTTTGGATGAAGCAGTCCTACATAGTAATAAAGCAAAGCGTGTCTGGTGGCAAAGCTGAGCCTGTTCAGACTCTGGCTCAGCAGTTTCATTAAGAAGGCCTGAACTCCTGCTTTATTTCTATCCAAAAACTAAAGGGGACAAGCTACAAGGCACTAAAACACAGTTTGGGGGTTTTTGTTTTTGTGACCAAACTAATCGGGAAAATTAGTTTAAAAAATTTGTTTGTTAGTATACAAAGTGACGTACAGAGGAGTTTCAGTTACGTAAGTCACGTAAAGAGCACATTTCTTTTTGGACAATGTCACCCCTTCCCTCACACTCTTCTGCCCCCATTTACAAACTGTATAGTTCATTTTCAATAGTGTGCAGTGAGTACCACACTACTGCAGTAGAAAATGAGTTTTTTTTTAAATTACTACAAGATTCTATTTGCTCTCACTAAACCTGAGCTATTAAAGAGGATTTCAAACACCAATTTAAGCGCTGACATGGACAGCTTTAATGCACAGCCCCAGCCAGGATGAATGGTTCAGCAACCAGAAAAGCATGAGTTTTAAGTAGACACGCCCAGCTTCATTCAGCTGGGCTTAGTACTTGAGTGTTTCAGGTTTAGACCCTCTGAATTCAGAACAAAACGTCAGGATCATGGAGAGTCACTGCCTGCCAGCACTGGCCCCTGCCCTCTATAGGCCTGCTTCCTCTGGAGGTCAGCATCAGAGGTCCAGAAGACCTCACTAAACTCAAACTCCACGGCATCTGACAAGTTGGCCTGAGACACTACCTGAGGGTGATGATGATCATGGATTGCTGTAAAACAAGGCACGTGATTAATTTAACTCACTTTTGATGAATTACATGCGACTATTCATGTTGCACAAGAAGATGACAACACAACTTTTTTAAAATTTCACATACAATTAATACTGCAGCATTTGAAGCACACTGTAGAAAACCTAGAATCTTTAAGACAGTGTAGTGCTGGCATTGGGACTAAGAGTTTACAAAAAGCTCCCAAATTCTTCAAGAACGCTGCTAAGATAGTTCGATGGGAAAGAACAGCCTACACCCGTGGTGCTGAGACAATTGGGTTTGCACGCAATGCAGCAGGGTCTACACTCAATGCATCAGGGCCTACACGCAATGCATCAGAGGCTACACGCAATGCATCAGGGCCTACACGCAATGCATCAGAGGCTACACTCAATGCATCAGGGCCTACACGCAATGCAGCAGGGCCTACACGCAATGCATCAGAGGCTACACGCAATGCATCAGAGGCTACACGCAATGCATCAGAGGCTACACTCAATGCAGCAGGGCCTACACGCAATGCAGCAGGGCCTACACGCAATGCATCAGGGCCTACACGCAATGCATCAGGGCCTACACGCAATGCATCAGAGGCTACACGCAATGCATCAGAGGCTACACTCAATGCATCAGGGCCTACACGCAATGCAGCAGGGCCTACACACAATGCATCAGAGGCTACACGCAATGCATCAGAGGCTACACGCAATGCAGCAGGGTCTGCACGCAATGCATCAGGGGCTACACGCAATGTATCAGGGTCTGCACGCAATGCATTAGGACGGACCCTGCTGCATTCACACCCTTACAAAAATCACCTCCTAGTTGGTCACACACCTCAATGTACCCACCAAGTCCACAGAGCCCTCAAGAAAATGTGGCGGTAAACCTTTGTAACCTTAGTTAGGAAATGGAAAATTGCAGATCACATATCCAGTATGGGACTGGTATCCGAATAAGTAAAAAAGTCACAACTCAACAATCAAAAGGTAAGTCAACTGCAGACAAGGTCTGGATAGTGGCCTCTCAGAAGATGTGGGAATGTACATGAAAGACAGGGTGCACATGAAAGGATGCCAGACACCACCAGCATCAGGAAATGCAAATGCAAACCACAAGCAGGCCCTGCTGCACATATGTGAGGATGGCTATGATGAGAAAATGGAACCTTTGTAAGGTGTATGGGCCTGTAAGAAGCACAGCCACGTTAACAAAGAGCCTGGCAATTCCTCAAATGGTTAAACAGAATCAACATACAGGCCAGTAATTCTACCTCCAGGTACATACACCCAAAGGAAATGAGGACACACAGAAACTTACACATGACGGCTGAAGGGGGAGTGCAGCCAAACGCCCACCTAGCCGTGAACGGTGAGCAGTAGCTCAACTGGCCTCATTACAGTGGGGCGTTTGGCCACAGCAGAGAATGACAGACAGAGACGGGACAACATTGTGTCCTGAAAACACAACACTCAGTGGAAGAAGCCAGTCACAAAGGAGCGTGTCATTCCATTTGTATGACGTGCCCTGTTCAGGTAGCCATGCAGAGAACGAAAGCAGATGAGGAGCGGCCTAACGCTGAAATGGGGTGAATGAACTGGGAAAGGCCAATGACTACTGATGAGCACAAGGTCTCTACTTGGGTGATGGACCTGTTCTAAAATTTACTTTGAGGATACTTGTATAACTCATTAAAAACACTGAATTGTGTAATTTAAATAGCCGAATTACATGGTAAGTGAATGCTAACTCAATAAAAAAAAAAATTACACCTAAGAACATGGAAAGACGTCCTGAAGGATTTGTTGGTTCAGTGAATGTTGCCCTAGCAACCTAACAACAGCTCGCATCTATCTATAGCACTGACTCTCATTCGGGCTCTTCCCAGCAGAGCAGCAGTAAATGCCTCCATTTTCTTTTTTTTCTTTTCCTTTCTTTTTTGTTGTTGGTCATGGGGCTTAAACTCTGGGCTTGGGTGCTACCCCTGTGCTCTTCAGCTCAAGGCGAGCAATTTATCGCTTGAGCCGCCACGCCACTTGCGGGTTTTCTAGTGGTTAATTGGAGATAAGAGTCTCACGGACTTTTCTGCCCAGGCTGGCTTTGAACTGTGATCCTCAGATCTCAGCCTCCTGAGTAGCTAGGATTACAGGCGTGAGCCACCAGCGACCGGCCCAATGCCTCCATTTTCTACCCCAGATCTCACTGGTGAGGAAGAGCACATGGCAGAAAGCCTGGGAACCACAGAAGAGCAGCGGCCTAGCCTGTTCACAAGGAGGTGGGGAGGTGTAGGTCTGAAGGTGGAGTGGTTGTCTGACCATCACTGGAACCTATTGGTCAACTACAAAAAGGCCTGGGAACTCTAGCAGGCAGACTGGAGCCAACAGGCAGAGGAGCAGAGTCCGTCCCAGGGGGGGCTCTGCGGGAGGTGTGCCTCACTTCCCTGCCTTGACTTGCAGCCCAACACAGTCAGTGGTGGTGCAGGAGGCTAAGACTCTGACAGGAGCTCCATCTTCCCCGACCAAAGGCCAATTCAAGGAGCTTTGCAGTCCCAAGAAATGGGAGTTAGGGGTGGGGGGGGTCCTCCTCTTCTTTGTGGCTTTCCCCCCAAGCACAGAGATACAGGCAGGTAAGATGGAGAAAAGCTATCCTTCATCTGCCCCCAAAGTACCAGAAAAAGGCATGCCAGAAGGCTAGGATGCACAAGTGTTAAGTGTGCTAATGTAGGAAGTTGCAGGAGGGGAATCTCATGACACCGAGCATACAGGACACAGCTAACACTCTGAGAACTAAAATTTCAACCTCTGCCAAGTCTTGGCAACCTCTGCATGGCGTCTGTGCAGGACTGATGAGCACACAGATGTGAGGTTGCGGCAGCACTGGGCACCAGTCTGACTGGCCATGCCATAGCAGAATGGCACCTTCCTCACTGCACCTGTTCTCTGGTCTCCTCACCTCCAGCTCTCTACTCGCCCTGCTTCCCCACCTCACACCCTGGAGATGGTAACAGGCTACGTATTTCTCTCATTTTCCTACTCCCCAAAGTAAAAGTGCTTGCAAAATTCCACTCATATTTGCAAACTACTCAAACTGCTTTCCTTAACGAAGTTATTTTTCTCTTAACTGGACTTTTACTTACTTTTAGCCTCTGAGTCATTCCTACATGACTTACAAAGCACTGGGGAAATGCACTGTGGCCAAGGAAGTTTGAACTCTTTAAACTGAATGGGGAGGCCTCAGCCTCAAAATGCAAGGATAGCAAGGACCCAGTTCTCACAGCATCTGACCAGGTTCCATTTGAAGCAAAACACAAGCTGCAAGTCTGGGAATGCTCCTCTAATGAAATCTTACCCACAGGATAGAGCCTCTGGGGAAAAAGAAGGGGAGACTTCCCTTCACTTAAACATTTGGATGCCTGACTTTTTCTCCAGATGTGCAATTTTTATTTAAAAATCATTTACTTTTTTAGTGTTTTGGGGGTTTGAACTTAGGGCTTTGTTAGCACTTGCTACACAGGTGCTCTACCACTTGAGCCATGTCTCCATGTAGCTGGATGACAAATGTGCACCCCTATCTGGGCCCAGCTTTTCCTGCTGAGGTTGGAGCTCATGAACTTTTATGCCTGGGCTGGCCTGGGTCGCCTCTACCCCTCCATCTTCACCTCCCAAGTAGCTAGTGTTTAGTGTTACAGCCTTCAGCTACCGTGCTGTTTTTAACCTTTGTATTTCTAATACATATTGTGGAATCCAGAATTTTAACTTGTGAAGAGTTGGGTTTTTTTGTTTTGTTTTTTGTCATTCTTGGGGCTTGAACTCTGGGCTTGGGCGCTATCCCTCAGCTCTTCAGCTCAAGGTGAGCGCTCTACCACTTGAGCCACAGCGCCACTTCCGGTTTTCTAGTGGTTTATTGGAGATAAGAGTTCAACAGACTTTCCTGCCTGGGCTGGCTTTAAACCTTGATCCACAGATCTCAGCCTCCTGAGTAGCTAGGATTACAGATGTGAGCCACCAGCACCCAGCTGAAGAGTTTTCTTATACATGAAGCTAAACCTGACATGCCAGTTGTGGTCAAACAGACTAGTACCAGCACTAGTTATGGGATACTTTAACACTTCAACCGCACCCCCACCCCGCCCATCCCCGAGTCTAAGTCTCTTGCCTATTCTTTTTTTGTTGTTGTTGTTGGTTGTGGGGCTTGAACTCAGGGCCTGGGCACTGTCCCTGAGCTCTTTCACTCAAGGATAGTGCTCTATCACCTTGAGCTAAGCTACCACTTCTGGTTTTGGTTAATTAGAGATAAGAGTCCCATAGACTTTTCCTGCCCAGGCTGGCTTTGAACTGTGATCCTCACATCTCAGCCTTCTGAGTAGCTAGGATTACAGGTGTGAGCCACCAGCGCCCAGCTTCAACTTGTTCTTTTCTTCCACAAGACTGGGAGCTTTTTTCAAACATAATATTTGTTTACTAATAAAAAGGACTTAGCCTGCACATTTGGACCTGAGCAGAGGGCGTGGAGCTCCTGTTCTGGCTGTGGGTGAAGAATGAGGTGGGCTTGCTCCTCAAGGAGAAAGGCAGTGCAAGCTGCTCACTGCCAGCTCCACACGCAGATGACTGTGGCATGCACAACCCCCATGCGGGCGGTCACGCATGGCCTTTGGCTGTGAGCTCACTGAAGTCTCTTCTCCAGAACCCCATTTGGTTTCCTAGGACTCTTGTTGTAGCTGAATGCCCCAGTGCTCAAGCTGTGAGCAAGCTTTGGGGTAGAACCCACAGCCCTAAGTAGCACCTGGGGGCGCCAGGAGCTCCCTACTCTCCTTGGCTGGAGCTACTTGTTTTCAAGATATTGCTTATCTTGGATAAGCTCAGAGTGTATGGATTCGTTCTATTTGCTGCACCACCCACAGAGCTACCTACAGGCCCAGCTCTTAAAAGCTGAGCTGGGCATTGGTGGCTCATGTCTGTAATACTAGCTACTCAGGAGGCTGAGATCTGAGAATCATGGTTCAAAGCCAGCCCGGGCAGGAAAGTCTGTGAGACTCTTATCTCGAATAAAGCACCAGAAGACCACAAGTGGCGGTGTGGCTCAAGGAGTAGAGTGCTCACCTAGAGCTGAAGAGCTCAGGAATGGCGCCCAGGCCCAGAGTTCAAGCCCCATGACCAACAATAAGAGAGAGAGAGAGAGAGAGAGAGAGAGAGAGAAAAGCTGAGTCCAATGTTCAACCCTTAAGCAGCAGAACATGAACCATTTTAGGTCTTCAGAAAAAAAAAATGAGGGGGCGGGGCAGGGGGAGGATGAGAAGGGGAAACAAAGGAGGAGGCTACAATGCTTGATAAGAAATGTACTCATTACCTTGCCCTTGTAACCCCTCTGTACAGTATTTTCACAATAAAAATAAATAAAAATTTTTAAAAATGATATAATCCTTTTTTCCACATTACCTTTTTGCTATATACAAAAGGGGGTGGGAAGCTAGCAGAATGCAGATGGGGGGCTGGATAAAGTGGTTACTGTTGCAGACTGCTGCAGTGGCCCACGGGACAGGGGTCTGGGACTTGGCATGAAGGACAGCCCACCTCCTGAGTGCAGCGGCCCACCACCTGCAGCCCGGGGCCGGTCCAGGGGAGGGCGCCAGCAGCCCCTGGCCTCTAGCCATGCTACCTCTCCTCAGGGCACAGGATCAGACACAGCAGATAACCAGCCAAAAACAAGCAGAAAGAAAGAAAAGAAAAAGACAAGGGGAGAGGGGCAGGGAGGAGGAAAACCTAAAATTTGGACTCCAAGGGTCTTTTCAGACACTTTTAATCCTTTCATGCTGATGGCTCCCGGAGCGTCCGTGGCTGGCACCGGACCCTGTGCAGGGAAAATCTGACTCTCTAAGCCAATGCGTTAAGAGAAGGCTGCTAATCAGCTAAATAGAAACTGGAACCTGTTCCCATCAAGTCTCGTTCCCCGTCACCAGAGGGACACCGCAGTGTTCTGAAATACACTCTTGACATCCTTTGGCAGGCAACCCTGTTTTGTTGAACATGATTCATCCCTTAGGTTATTGTTTTTAATATTAGAAAGTGAGCTTTTAAATGCCAAACAAATTGTGCAGCAAGGGGACAAGAGATATTCCAAGTGGTCTCGCTGGACCTCCTGCCAACTGTGTCCACCAACCGGCTGAACAGAACCCCATCCTGTGGTGCTTAGAAATGGAGCAGACATATCTGGATCCAACGATTACCTAATACAAGTCTCTGCTCTCCAAGTCGTGGGCTGACACGTTCAATTCAGGTGGACAAAGCTGCAACGTGGCGGTGGAGACCGGCCAGCACACACTCGGACGTACCTCCTGTCCATGTTGCCGCTGACCATGAGGTGGGGAGGGCTGTCCCTGAAGTTGACGCAGGTGAAGTCACCAAGTGCATTTCCGAGCTTTGACAGGCACCGCTCTGCTTCCACGCTGTACACCAGGATCTGAGAGAGGAAGCACACATCAGAGGACCGCTGGACACTTGGATGTCCATCACTCAGGGCGTGAGCAGCCATCCTGTTCTTGCTGACCACCTTCTGCTGTGCATCTCCTGGCCACCTCCAGGTCACTGCCAGGACTGGGATACAGCCACCAGAACGACAACAGGAAACGCAAACTAACTCATAGGTCACTAAAGAAAATGCCAAATGGGGAAGTTAGGTCCCCTAAATTGTACTTTCTTTTTTTAGTGCCAGGGATTATACCCTAGGATCAAGACCAGAGAGTACTCCATCGCTGCACTCCATCCATCCCTAGCCCAGGTAGTCCAGTGTTTGAACAGAAAAGAGAGTTCCTGGCTGCTTGTGGTTTAGAATGAATGGGAAGGGCAGGTACCAAGGGCTAGGCCAGCTTGCAGATGACCCAGGGAGGGCTCTTTTTCTGTATCTACATCGTAGACGGTAAAGACCGGGGCAAGGAAGGGGCAGGACGCAGGGGCAAGGAAGATGAAGCCTGCTGGGCTAACCATTTGGTGATCTCTGTAGACTAACCTGCACTGGCGCCTTCTTCTCCCCACCCCTGGTGGCGTAGGAAGCTCTGTTCTCTCAGGTGTGAAAGGTATGGAGACAACACAGCCCTCATCTTGGCTGCTCCACTCTTCTCTCCAGCAAAGGGGGAGGGAGAGGATGACTCACAGGAAGCTTTCTGAAGACTGCTGAAGTATCTCATTAAAAACTTGACTAGCTCAGTTCCACTCCATTCAGTTCACAGTAGTGGCTGCTCTGGATCACCCGTAGGTGCTGAGCGCACAGTCCTTCCCCTTGCTAGTACCCACACCCCTCCCTCAGTAGTCATCTTTCTGCTGATCACGCAATACGTGTTTTAAATGAACCACAAACTCCCAAACTTTCCAGTAATGTTACAATGAACTTTTCTCAGCATATGTGGAATCACATGCTTTCCTTTTCTTGTTAACTTACACATTTATCACACAATGGTGTTGATTCGTACACTGGCACTGAGGAAGAATAAAGCAAACTGTTTCTGCTTTGAAGGCCACCATATACATCGCTAGCACACATGCTAACAAGTGAATTTGGGGAAATTTCTGGTCGTAGAAACCCATAATCCTACTAACAGCTCTCACTAAGAGCATCTAGACTTCCGATCCAAAATCCCTTCTTACTTCATGAAGACTGGAGAATAAGCTGGGTCCCTATCAAAAACGGAATGGCATCAAAAACATCTCAGATTTTTTTTTGGGGGTCGGTCATTGGGTTTGAACTCTGGGCCTGGGCTCTGGCCCTGAGCTCTTCAGCTCAAGGCAAGTGCTCTACCACTTGAGCCACAACACTGCTTCTGGTTTTCTAGTGGTTAATTGGAGATTAGAGTCTCACGGACTTTCCTGCCAAGGCTGGCTTTGAACCGTAATCCTCAGATCTCAGCCTCCTAAGTAGCTAGGATTATAGGTGTGAGCTACCAGTGCCTGGCTTACATCTCAGATTTTAACTATTTAAAAATAACCAAGCTGGGCACCAGTGGCTCATGCCTGTAATCCTAGCTATGCAGGGGGCTGAGATCTGAGGATCACAGTTCAAAGACAGCCTGGGCAGAAGAGTCCCCAAGAGACTCTTACCTAAAACTACTCAAAACCCGGAAGTAGTGCTGTGGCTCAAATGGTAGAGCGCTAGCATTGAGCAGAAAGAGGCTTAGGGACAACCAAAAGAAGAGCATTCTTCCAAGTACAGAAATAATCAAATTTTCCACCTTCAACAAATCATCTTAAAATTAAAAATGGCAACCTGATGGTATACTATAAAAATAATATTCTGTGAATATTTCCAAATAGCTAAGAAAGAACCTGATTGCTCCAACCTGACTGTAAATGTCTGAGTGACAGGCATTCCCCCCCATCAGAAACTACATATTTGTATGTACACATAAGTATGCACACAGACTACACGAACATTTAGAAATGTGTTAATTTTTAGAAGTAATTTTTACCCACTTATTACAGCAATTTCAACAATTTGAACTCTCCCTTTTCTTGCTTTTTAAAAAGTTAAACTTCTGCAGCATGAAGGGAGGCCTTCAGCCATCAGGGGTTGATGGTAAATCTAAGGACTGAAATCTGGTATCAAGTCAGTATGTCTTTACTTTTTCTAAAAGTTCTTTCTTGACAAGTGGATGAAATCATCTCCGTGTGATATAGGAGGACCAAATCCCTTGCCAAAAAGACTGCCAATTCATCATAAAGACATCTAAGTCAGCAGTCAAGTATTTTCTAAAATGTTCAATAATTCAACGAGTCAGAATTATGCGAAGAGAACCTTTACTATTGTGTTTAGTTAAAGACCACAGAGATTAGAAAACACATTACCATCTCCAAGGCAGGCCTTCCATGTTAGAAGTCCCTTAACGCCCTTTACCATGCTTCTTCCCTCCCTCCTTCTCTCCCTCCCTCCTGCCCGCACTCTCTTTTAATAAGGTTGAGCAAATGGGACTTCATTTTATCTGATTGCCACAGACTAGTCACATTAATAATTCATGCTCGCACTCTCCTTCTTGTTAAGACTATGCATTAGACTAATTTTTCTCTTTATTGCTCTAGCTGGGCGAGTCAACTCACAGCCACTTGACTCATCCTCAGAGGTGTTCAGATACACTGGGAAGCTCCCCACAGCTGCACTGCTGGAGAGGATGCTCCACGCTAATGTGGCCACCGACTCCTCGCTGTCAGTGAGGTTGTTTTCTCTTAGGCACCAAGCGTATGTTATGGGCGAGTTTCCACAGTGATTACAGCAAATGTGTACTGAAAGATTCTTTAAGAATTAACCCAAACAACTAACCCTGGTGGGATAAATGACAGTCCTGCAGAAGTATCTGCTACAGGGCAGAGTCACAGGCCAGAGTGCGTGTGTGTGCGCGTGTGTGTGCATGTGTGCGCGTGTGTGCGTGCGTGTGTGTGTGTGTGTGTGTGTACTGGAGCAGGGCCTCCCAGTCTTAGCTTTCTTGCTGATGGCTGATGTTTCATCACCAAGTCATACTTCGTCTAGCATTTTGCTGGTTAATTGGAGATAAAGAGTTTCACCAACTTTTCTTCCTGTTCTGGCTTTGTACTGTGGTCCTCCAGGTCTCAGCCTCCTGAGCAGCTAGGATTTCAGGTGTGAGCCACCGCCACATGACTAGTATTTCCTTTTCCTTGGCTCCCAGGATAGAGCCAGTTTGGTGTGGATGTTTTCAGAAAGCACTGGGGATTAAACCCAGGGCCTTACTCTACCATTTGAACCACACCTTGATCCTTCTGGTTTTGTCTCTGAGGTAGGCTCTTACTAATTTTGCTCCTGCTGGCCTTGAACTCATAACTCTCTTGATATAACAGATGTATACTGCAAGTGGCTGCTTTTAGATTTTTTTTTAGTGTGAATGTCTTTCTTTTTATGTATGTGCATAAACTGTCCTCTGCATGGGGTTACTGCTTTATAGTTCAATTTTCCACTTTTTGGTGCCTTCAGGTAAACCTCATTCTTTTGGATGGTTGCAGAATGTGGAAAATATAATATATATTATATAATGTAATATATACATATTAATTCCACACTGATGGGTATGTTATGTTTTTTGTTTGTTTTGGCAAGGCTGAGGACCAAACTTAGGCCCTGCACTTGCCAGGCAAGTGCTCTTCCACTCAGCTAAATGCCCCTTCCCTTTTTTAACAAAAACAAATAACACTGTAACTTACTCAGTGACCAGGTGACAAAAATTTGGTTTTCCTCTCCTCTGCATTAGGTGTTGGAATGGACAGAAACAATGAGAACAAGCAGCCCACGGCCGCTGCCCTGTACCGGGGCCTGGCTCTAAGGAGACTGCCATCCGGGTCCTACAGCTTTCATCAAAAGCAGCAGTAGTGAGGCGGAGGCAACGACCACAACCCAACATCTGGAAAGCTCAGCAACTGCCCCAGCTGGACAGGCTTGCTCTTGCTCACATGACCTGAGTTGTTTCAGGTACCCAGATGCCATTGCTTTCCACGTAAACCATGACAGGAAAGGCTCAAGGCAAGCCATCTCCTTCAGCCTGCAAGAACGGGAGTTAGCACCAAAAACTTTCCCTAAGTGTCTGTCTGACATGAGAAAACAGGAGCCACCTCCACACAGAGATCCCCATGAAGATTATGGCGCCATGCTCTGCTAGAAGTTGGGCTCTGTACTGATGAACAAGGAGGAAGTTCCATCCTGTTCCCTTTAAGTATACCTGAGCAGCGAGAGGCCTTGGCCTACAGCGGCTGCATGGGGACAGCTGGCCCATCCTCTGGACCCTGTCCCACCTCTCCAAGGGGCAAAGATTGGTAGAACACCTCTTCCCAGTAGAGCACTTTAAGAGCTCAGAGGTCATTTGTCCACCACCATTTTCAAACAGGAAGTGAGAAAGAGCCAAAGGTGAGGAGATGCTAGACCAGACTAAAGTGGAGCAGAAGAGCTGGCTGAAAGCCAGGTCTCTGAGAGCAGACTTCTGTCTTCCTTCTGCTCCCTGGTAGCTCTCCTCTGTCACCACCACATGTTATCTTCTTTTTCTGAGGGGAAAAGCCATGCTCTGGAGCATTAAGCCAATAAACCTCATGCTCTCCTTCCCGCCCACTCAGTGTGCTCAGCCTCTCCACGAAGCCCTTGGCACACAGAGTTCTTGCATCTACACACTTCATCTGGTGTTCCCATGGCCATCTTGAACTCGGTGTTTTCTTCCTCTCTTTTCTGAGGATGAAGAGTTCCTGAGGAGGCTATGATCTCATCAGATCAGGTCAGCTCAGTTACCAAGTATCAGAGCACACATTGGAGGATGCTCCTCAGACTTGGAGCAGAAATCCTACAGCCTGTACAACTGTCCATCTATCCCTCCATCCTTCCATGTAAACAGCAGCAATGGCCTGGCAGGCTCAGGTGCTGTGTTTGTCACATACTCCATGTTAAGCACTTGTGTCTGCATTTGGAGATAACTGACCGGTCCA